AAATCAACTATAAAAATAAATTTTTCCCAGCCCAAATACGACCCCCCTTTTGACGGCCAAATACGACCCCCCCCCCATAGGGAAATCCCCAACCAATGCTGTGCCCTGGCACTGATGCAGCAGCGACGCTAGACGCTACAACTGCCATAGTCCTGCAAGAAGCAAAAAAAATGAAGCTCAGCAGGATCCGATCCCATGACCTGTTGCGTGGTAAGACGCGGAGGGAAAAGCTCCATAACTCCATTCAGAGAATCGTTGTGCAAATTTTACAGGCAGATTTGGGATCAGCGTCTGAAGCCACGTCTTTTAACTGCGCCTCACCACAAACAGCCACTTCAACCGGACGACATTCCCTCATAAGAACTGTTCAGCAAACGTAGCATACACTAACAGAGAGTTGTAAGAGTTCAATATTTATTTATGGCAAAGACAACAATCTGTTTAGCTCTTGGAAGCCATAGAGCTGACTCTGGAAATATCCTTGCATATAATATGGTAATCCAGAATAGAGTGATTTGAGGCTGAAATTACAAAAATTTGCGGCATTATCGTCTCCAAATAGCTTGTTCGATAAAGTTCGGCAAGGGGACAGCATCGCTGGAAAACTTCCATTAGAGGGGAGGGATCATACTGACACCTTCACTACATACATCCATCCCGATGCTGAACCGTGCTTCAACAAGAGACAAGTGACATGATAAATCCGCCTAACTACGCCTAGCCAGGCAGAATCCGGCGCCCCTCAGAAGGTCTATGACGCTTTTTTCGAGGAGGGTACCCTCATCCCTATCCTGCCATATATCGACCCGGTCGCCCACCGCGCCCCCGCCCGCCCACAAATGTCCGACCGATGCTGATGCTCGTATTGCTTCATTTGCGGAATACAATGCGAAGAGGTTGATATGAAGCGGCTGCGGTGCTGCATGGATATATATGAGTACATACATGCAGCCGTATCTACCGTAGCGGTTATTGGCACGATGCCAACGGGAAACTCGTCCGAAATCGCTTTCTGAGTCGTGTAGAACAAAGGCTTTTTCTGCAGGTTTCTGACCGTTTCACTTCGCTTCTTCGAGACTTCTCATTATATAGCGCCCCTGATCCCATTTTGGATCAAGTGCCGAACTATCGTGCCTTATGCCTTCAAATGTATGATCATCTGTGCCAACGGGGTTGTTAGGTGGATCTAGTCGGTTAGAGCGCAAGTTGCTATCCAGAAAAATGCATCGCTAGTTGAGGTAGTCCTTATGAACAGGTTCAGGTGATAGTGCTTTGTGCAGAACTGTCAGAGATCAGAGATCTTAGTTCTTGGCAAATGTCTTTCGCGCGATAAGGGTCACCAATCCCTGGACAGAGTAGGTATGCTTGTTCTGTTCCTCGATCAAGTTGAGCACAATAATAGTAAACAGTTAAGGTCAAACCACTATGCAGAACGTCTCGGGGCACGGGCATGAGAATCGTAATTTGCCGCTCCCTCTCGCGCGGCTCATTGTCTGGCAGTGAGCGTCACTGGGCGATGGGTATGGAACATTCGAACTGTGCGTCAATTTCCCAATTGGAGCAGCGGAACTCGTGGAAGTCACTGCGTATTTTTTATTTTTTCCTCATTTCCGCACATATTTCACATGTTTGCCGTTCTTATAGCGTCTATTGCTGTCATGGCCAAAGATATGGAGGATCAAAACACTTCAGCCTCCTTAGCAGTCATCATGCGATCACGCCGAATTGGAATTTGCTGACTAATTGTAAGCAGGAGAAATTTCTCCGGCGCGGCATTGCTCGCAAAACCTGCCAGCGCGGCAAATTATGATTCTCCTGTCATATACCCGGAACTCCCAGTATACGTCAGGGCACATCGTCGTAGGGGATTCCCGGCGCAGCATGTAGACGGGGGTGGGGGCATTCGGCTTTTCATAGATGTGCCGACCCATCTAGGTAGCCTTTTCTCGAGTTGACACGATAGGATGGTGGCTAGACGATCTTACTCCAGCTTCACAGGCGTTCACAAGTTTTACCATGGTGAGATTCGTAAACCGGAACTAGGGAAGCAATGTTAGTACAAAATGCCCCCCCGTCGCTAAACAGCGCCGGGATTCCCCAACAGGGGTGTCGTATTTGGTGGCTGAAAGAGGGGGGATTGCGTTTGTGCTGAGAAAATTCACTTTGATGGTCATTTTTTTTCTCGTTTCACGTTTTGTATGGGGCGGTCGTGTCCCCTTCGACCTTCTGAAAAAGATTGCCTGACTTGTCTTGTTTTTTCCTGTTTCATGTGGTACTATATCCCCCCTCCCCCCCCCCCCCCTCCGCCGGCAACTCGATGGGGAACAGAGGGAGAAGTATGAACCCCCTGAAAGAGGGGGGGGGGTCGTGCTGGAACTCCCCAACTAGTAATGTGCCCTGGTATACATTTTACTGGGTAAGGCATTATCCACGTCCCCGGCCCTGACGATTCGGAGGTCTGGCGAAAAGCAATAAATACCTATCGATCGGAAAATCGTCAACAGCTCTGGCGAAAAACCTCTGAGATTTGGCGGCGAATTGGATAGATGCATACTGTTTTCGCTGACTCCGCCAAAGAGAAAAATGCCAGAGCATAGGCGTTCCCGCGCAGGCGACACGCCGAACTGCTAGTTGATATGTAACAAAATCTTTCCGCCTAAGGCCGCGTTCATAGCTTGCGACCATGAAGAAAGTGAAGAAGTGCCGAAAGTGCGGAAAGTGCGGAATCTGCAGAAATGCCGAATGTGAAGAAAAGCAATAGATATGTATCGATTTGACTTTCCGCACTTCCGCACTTTCCGCAATTTCTTCAAATCGATACATATCTATTGCTTTTCTTCACATTCGGCATTTCTTCAGATTCCGCACTTTCGGCATTTCTTCACTTTCTTCAAATCGATACGTATCTATTGCTTTTCTTCACTTTCCGCACTTTCGGCACTTCTTCACTTTCGGCACTTCTTCACTTTCTTCATGGTCGCAAGCTATGAACGCGGCCTAAGCGTTTCTTTTGCCGATTCTGAGGGAGACGAGCAACAGAACCGTAGTTTGCCGCTTCGCCGCGCGCGATGGGCGCGGCGTTTTTTCAACTCGTGCTTGCCTGTCAGTTGGAGTGCCGCATCCATGTGGACCACGTCATAGTAGACATTCATTAATATCCTGTTGTTGTCACCTACCACCAACAGCCGTAATTCGTTGTTCGCGGTGCGACGTCGCACGCGACGCCCCCCAGCGCTGTGAGTTACAGTTCTCTTGTCACACACCCATTCCGCAAGTTCGCAAATTTTTAACATCCCTAACTCACAAACTACTTGATAACGATATCCGCGGCGATGATAACCTGGCTCCGCCTTCGTGATATCCTATCTTTCTCACTTTGTTTTTCATCACCATCTAGCGGTCTCTATCCGGTCATTTGTACTCTGTGTTGATCGCGGACGGTGCGTTCGATGATAGGGACGAGAATGGGAAGGACGTCTCATCAGATAGGCCAAGGGAAAAGGAGTGACGTTTCAGAGAACAACTCTCAAACTTCTGCCACGTTCGTCTAGCCTCTGAGAATAGCGATCTAGTAGAAAGGTTAGGTATAAAATCACATCGAACAGTCCCTTTGGCACAGATGTTCGTAGCACATGGGTTCAAGAGCAACAGCGTTGAAGAAAAGTTTGCTTACTTGGTCAGAATCTGTAGTCTTGAAAGGCTAGAATCTTTTATCTGCATAAAGATATTGAAGAACTGAAACAGATGCTTCATAATCGCGGCATACCGACTGAAGGTATGATCGATGGGGTGAAAGAAGGGAAGAGAACCCACCCGAAAGCAAAAAATCTTTTCATAATTTACGCACTTACCGTCTTCAGATTTTCACGGGTCTCATAGGCATTGGCTCCTATGTATCCTGTCCGCAATATTTCTTCGGCATTCCGGAATGCGTTCAGAATATCACAAAGGCCTTCAGCTTTCCAGTGCTGTTGGCAATCATCATCTGAGCTACACTAAATAACTCACATTAAACGACACACTATTACAGGAAGACAATACATAAGTCTGAGGTCACTTCTACTACATAGTTTACAGAACAAATTGAACGTCCAACTCATCCCGAGGTAGTAGCATGCTTATGAACTGCTTTCAGGAATGTCGCACCTGACGAACTGAAGAAGATTTGAGCCCTTGAGTGGGCATGCCAAGTACGCCTTGCAGTACAGTCTCCAGTCCATCTGAAACATGAGAACTGTGGACGTTTGAGCGACTTGGCAACGTAGAACGAACCTGACTCTCCTCCGTATCCCGGATGATCTTTTCTTACACATTCATCTGAAGGAGGAGGAGGAGGAGGAGGAGGGAGGAGGCGGAGGAGGTGGTGGGGGTTCTTCAGTTGTTGTGGGAGGTGGCGGCGGAGGAGGCGGTGGGGGTTCTTCAGTTGTTGTGGGAGGCGGTGGAGGACGGGTTCGTACTTGAGGAACCGTTGACATCCGATCACGAAGGTGCGCATAACCGCCCCTGATCAGGGTAAAGTACATCACGATGTGGAGGAAGACGCGCATGTTGAGGTTGTGAAGAGAGAATGATGCACACTACAGCCAAACACACTTGTTGACTTCGTTATCATTATCATCGTTATGGAAATCGTTCCACGTACTCTAGTATTGATAAGGTGGCCGGCCATCTCTCACAATGCTGATCGATGAATGGAGTCATCGATGGAGATCTGTCGTTATGGATTAGCATCTAAACTGATATGTTCCGTCGTGTGAGTGGTAACACAACAACCACATCTTGCTCGACTCCGTGGTAACCCGTCTTGGAAGTGCTAACTTACCCAGACTTTTTGCCCAATTTCGGACCGTCGGATGCACACCATCTGTTCAACAATACAGGGGGGGGGCAAAAAAAGTCACTTCGACCGAGTCACATATCAGCAAAGTTTTCGCTGCCCAGACAGAGGACGTGGATACGAGTACCAGGGCGGAAGATACCCAAGATGTTCCTCTATAAGCAGGAGCTGGCTCTCGCCCATCACCTTCATGTACACCAAAATATGAAGTCATCTCCAGTCGCAGCCTGACTGGAGAAGACCTTTGGAATTCATGTCACCTCCAAACAGCTGCGAAACTTCTAGTATGGAGTCACCCATGGATAGCTACCTGGAGACCAGTACTCTCGATCTGGATGACCTCCAACATCGAGCAGCTCCGACAACGTCGCCACGGTCTAGGACATCATCTTCACCACAGTCGCCAAGGCGCGGGTTGATGGTATGGACCGGACGTACCTGGAATGGAAAGACCAATATTTTCTTCGTGGACCCCGGACTGAAGGTGAGCGCTGGCGGTTACATCGAGCAACTCGTGAAGAATATCCTCCTCACATGTCGTCGCCCGTACCTTCTTGGAAACTTTGTACTGCTACAGCATTGGGTGCCACCACATGGAATCGAAGGGCATTGGAGAAACTCTCGCCTACTTGGAATGGAAGGAGGCGGTGGCGGAGAAATCGACTATCTCGCTGATCTCAGGCACCACATCGCGGTCGCGTGCCAGAATCTCTCGATGGCGCTCGTCCAGAAGGCTGTGGCGGAGTGTCATGATAGTATTTAATATGCTCTTTAATATGGTGGTAAAAATGTCCGATCAGAATTTAATAAAGTGTAACTTATAGCGCCTCGAAAGTCAATGAAGGAAAGTGACTTTTTTTGCCTCCCCCCTGTATACAGTTTGCTAGGCTAGGACTGAATAGCCTTGTTGAACCAGGGCAACGTCATTTGGCGCAATGTTGGCAGTAGACGGATATACTAGTCAGTGGCATCCCGACCTGCTTGTCACATGATTGCTTCCTTGACATAATAGTGTGTGTGATAAAGAATTGAACGCCTCCCGGTGGGTATGGGTGACAAAGCAACTACTGCAGTCTTGATCGCTGCGGATGAAGTGCGTGTCAGGAGGGATGGGTTTGGCGCGGCGAAAAGTCAATTTTGCACCAATTATTGAAGCGAGCAAATGAGACTGTATCCTGTCTTTCGCACCAGTCGTTTTCCATCAAATGTTATTGCTTCTTGGCTTCAACAAGTAATGGAGAATAGATGGCCCGTACCGCCTAGCACGCCCCTTCATCCACAGCGAACAAGGCTGTGGCTTCCACATTAGCTTTTCACAACGATCTTCTTCTTCTCCCTAGCGTTAGTCCCGCGCCGTCGCAGGGTCCGCTGTTCTTGTTAGACGTCGCCACTTGTTCCGATCCACTGCATCTTCTGCTGTGGCTTTCACTTCAGTGAGGTCCCTCTTGATGACCCTCCATCTTTTCTTTGGGGCTCCTCGTGGTCGCTTGCCCTCTGCTTCGAACTCCATGAATTCCTTATTGGGTGCTCATCAGGCCTTCTCAGTACGTGCCCATACCATCGCAGTCGCTGCTCTCATGCCTTCAGCTGGATCGGAGCGGTCTGTGTGACCGCTGGGAACCGGTCCTCGTTTCTGACTTCTGACGAGTCGCTGTTCCAGGGCCGCAGCCCATCTCAGCATCCTCATTTCAGCTGAGTGGAGCTGCCTTCATGGTTCTTGCAGATAAGCTAGCACTCACTGCCATAGAGCATTGTAGGCCTTACCACTTAGCCGCGGCTAATTGCCCTGCTTGAGCGTTCTCGAGCACGCCGGTCGCACAGGATGCCAGTGGACTCCCTCCATTTCATCCAGGCTGCGTTGATTCGGGCCTTCACCGCCTGGTCCACGCTGCCATCAGCTGCTAGGTTGCTCCCCAGGTACTGGGAAGCAGGGCACGCCATCTTTGTGATCATCACAACAGGGGGGTCGTATTTGCCCGCGATGGAGGGGGGGGGTCGTAAACGCATGGCCCATGTTGAAGTGGAGAGAGCGGGTGATACATGGTACAAGTAAAGAAGCTCAAAAGGGACGATGTAGATGACAATAAATAGAACTAGGCACTATCGAACTATTCCTAGGCCAAAAAAAAATATTGCTGAAACTTTTTCCTCCTTCCTCACAAAAAACTTCAAGACACTTCGCCCACCAACCCTCCTCATCTGGTCTAGATAAATCCCAATCCACTAATCCGCAAAATCTAGAAAAGAATCCATTGCAAAAGCTACCTATGAAACCGTAGAAATTGAATCCTGAGCAATTTCCTCACAACAAAATCAAACTCAACAAAACAAAATCAAACTCAACAAAAACAAACAAAGTAATTCACAATAAAATGGATAAGAAAAAACTCACCGCTCAGCTGGGAACCGGAACTATGGATTACTTTTGAATTTTGGCTGTTCGCGGTCAGCGCGCTCATACAAGCGCATTGGTGCGCGCTATTTACGGTTTGGAGCCAATTTCAAGCCAAACACGTGAAAAGTACCCCTCATTTGAACACCCATAACTTCGTTGAAAGTGAAGCTATCGGAGAGGGGTAAGTGGGAATGAGTAGAGCTAGGTTGGCTCTTGTCACCTGAATTGAGCGATTTCAAAAACGTTCCGGTTCCAGAGATTTTCCCCGTTGTGATCATCGTTGTGATCCATCTGTGATCATTTTTGCGAACCGCGAGTCGCTACGCTTTGGACGTCCATGGCCAAGACCTTCATCTACAAGACCTTTCGTAAAAAAAAGAACTGTGCCGGAAGCTTGAAGATTTCTACTTTCCAGCAAGCTTTTAATTTCCTTCCTAGACCTACTATTCGAAAAAATTCCCCGTTGTGATCATTTTGTAATCACCCCCACGACACCGAAAAATCAACCCCTCCGAGGCCAGGAAACCTCCAGTTGGCTCGAAGACTTTGGTATGCTTCTAAAACACATGTTTTCGTCAAGCATATCAGGTAATAGGCCATTGGGCGCCAATTGGCATCACATATGCAATGCGCCATGCATGGGGCTTTCACGCAGGTGTTTGAAAGGTGTAACTTCTAGATAGGGCTTCCCAATTGCAAGCAAATGTGCTCCTACGATCAGAAAAGTCCGGGAATGTACTTTCATCTGTTTATTAATCGTCACGTCGTGAGTCCTCTTGTTTGTTTATAAATTCATGGGGCCCTTGTGGGCGGTGATCGTAGCTCCTATCATCGCCCCTTCCTCGTACGTATTGTCAGTATGCTACACCAGCGCCAGAGTGCTGGACGTGCTTGGGACGTACGTAGGTACTGCGACCCCCCCCCGCTCGACAGCAAAATTTTGTAAAAAAACCAGAAACTTTTTGGGAAAAAATAGACAAAGTGGTAGGAGGTTGGAAAAATCTAGGGAAGAGGTAACGTGGGGGGGGGTCGTACTTGAAGATGGAATTAGGGGGGGTCGTATTTTTCAGGAAATGATCACAACGCAATGGCGTGCCCTGACTGGAAGTCCTCGACCCTTTCGATGCTCTCGCCGTGACGGTCTACGATGGGTTCGGTACACTCTTCAGAGCTCAGGAACTTGGTCTTCTTCACGTTCAACCGGAGTCCATTCTCAGCGAGCACATCCTGCCACCGCTGCACCTTGTCCTGGAGTTCTTCCCTGCTGTCCGCTATCAGGGCGATGTCGTCAGCGTAGAGGATGGTTTTCAGTGGTCCCTCCATGAGTTCTTTTGCCATGACATCTAGAGTCAGGAGGAAGAGGAACGGGCTGAGGGCTGATCCTTGGTGTACCCCAACCGTGATGTTTACCTCCTTCGTCAAGCCGTGCGGCAGATTCACTGTAAAGTAGGGTTGTTAAAGGCACGGCCCACGATAAGGAGCATGGGTTGGTGTTGAAAAAGGAACAAAAGTTGTTGTGGCCGGCCTGTGAATGAAATGCGAAAGGGAATGTGGGAAACGCTTTCAGTAGCCTCGAAAATTTGCACCGGTGAAAGGCGCACGGGTGAAATACCACATGTTGGGAAGAGTCAAGTTAAGTGATTCCTTTCAGTGAACCCTATGACTTCCCAAGGAACAATGGGACGTTCTTTACGGGCTACTTATCCGCTAGCATCGCTTTCGGCTGCAAGGCAAACGTTGAAGGCGACGTCTGGAGGCAGATTCACTGAACAGGGAAGTTGTCACTGGAGCAACATCGCACCTCCAAGACAATTCCCGCAAGTATTACGAGTAGCCTGTGTTCAATCTCAACCAGCAGCCGATAAGTGAATTTCTAGCAAAGAAAGAGGCAAAAAATACATTGAGAACACCTTAAAAGGGAACCCCTCCATGGCAGTCACATAGTAATATCCT